CCTCATCATCATCTTCATCTTTATCATTTTTTTGGACATGATTTTGACACTTTGAAGCCTTTGAAACTTCATGCCCTAAGGCTAAGGGTTGATAAAAATGTTAATACATCATTTTCATTTTGAGAATTCAAAGTTACCTTGATTTTTTGCTTCTCTCTCTCTCTTACCACCCTTATCATCATTAAGTCTCTTTCTTTTTGGTGTAGCAAGAGGTAATGATGAAGATAAACACTCTTACCTGAGCCTCACCTTTTATTTTCAAATCAATAATCAATTAAAACCTTAATCGAGTTGATCAGAAAAGGGAATCATTATCATGACTATCAATATATACACTTAATTTTATCCAAATCAATATGAAATTTAATTTAAACAAAACATTGATTATCTTCATGATGATCACCATCTTCATCATCATCATGGTGAAAATTTCAAGGTTGACTCATCACATTTCATGGGAAATGTTCAAAGAACTGTCAGCTGATTAGTTGATTTAACTCAAATTGTTTCTGCAACTCTTTCAGCTTAATTGTTATCTTTAGGAGTTAATTGTGCAGAAGTAAAAAACAAAATTAAATGATAACAAACATGAAATGCTAATCCGATCATGATTAAATTTCAATCTCGCTGATTATGATTAGTAAAAAAGATGATGATGATAATTTAATGAGTTTACATAAATAATTAGGATGAAAGAATCACCAATATGAGACCTAAAAGGGAAAACATAGAGAAGAGAGAAAAATGTTACACTTTTAGAAAAGAATCACAAATTAACAAGTTGACCAACGCTCTTAAGATGATGACAATGTTAATCCAATAGAAAACATGGACTAATTAATCTTAACACTATTTCCCCAAAGAATAACAGGAAATCTAATGGCTAAAGGAAAGAAGAACAATTCAGTTAATCCAATTCGCCTCATCCGAACCATATTTCTCTAAATCTATTACATAAGAGAAAAGAAAAGAAAATAAAGTGACCAAGATTCTTTTGATAACCCGTTCGCCATTTTAATCCATTTCTTCGAGGAGACAAAAGTGGGAGAGACAAAGATTATCCTTCAAGAGAAGATGATGTAACTTTGAGAGAGAGAGAAAAAAAGGAAAGACTTTTCTTCCTTTCGGATGATAGAGAGCGTAGCGAAGATGATGAAGACCAGAAAATTGTTCTCTTTCTCAATGTTACAGTTGCGAATGAGAAAAGCGACAGAGAAGAAAAGAAAGAGAATAGAAGAAAATGGTTACTAGGGGTGGAAAAGGGAAAAAAGAAAATCGTGAGAATAGAAAGAGAAAAGAAAGAGAAGGCGCAGTTTCTCTGCTCCCTCGCGAGAGAGAAAATCAGGTTTACAAGGGAAGTGGAAGTTCTGTCTATCATTTGCAATTTTTTCTTCTCCAGGCAACAAATTTTTCTCAACTCTTTGTTCACTGTTTTTGGAATTTTTTTCTTTTCTTTTTCTTACCTCAATTATTTTCTTCTCTCTCTCCCTCATCGTGTAATTAGTAACATTTTTCTTTTCTACTAATTAATTTATTCTTTCTCTCTCTCTGTCTACATTTGCTAGAGGAAACAAGTGAAAAATTCTAAACTTATCAAATAGAATTTTTTGTATTTTCTATTCTCTTTCTGGATTATAAACAACAAACTTCTTCGCTCTTTGTGTTCATCATCTTCATCTTACAACAACAATTTTTTCTTCTTCATCTCTCTAGTCAATCACATCAACTTTAAATAATCTTTTTTATTAGTCAAAATGGAAATTTAATTGTTGTTACTAAGCCATCTTTTTTTTCATCTCTAAAGTCAACTACATTATCTCTCTATCTCCTAAATCATTGGATTCAACTCTTTCTTATCTCTGTTTCGGATTTTCTTATATTTGTGTCTTATCTTATTCTCATCTTAAAGTTTGATATCTTTCTTTTTGATTAATCTGTATTTCAAATCCCTAAGAGACCAGAGAGTTAACTTTAAATCCGTTAAAATCATGTTTATAGCCAGCCAACATAGACCTAGACATTCAACACACTGGTACCTTACAACGTGATCATCACTCTCATCATCAACTTCACCACCACCAACAACAGCAACTACAAAATCAACACAATACCTCCTCGTGTAAACCACCAATTTGGACAGTGGCTTATTCATCAGCGACACCCTTAGATCCCCACCATCACCATGGTGGGTCACTTTACTTTGATCCAGCAACATTAAATAGGCAACATCTCAGAAATCATCATCACAACAATGTAAACCTTATGATGGTTAGTTTAACTTTTTTTTACTCTTCCACACACTTCCAACCAAACAACCCAATTCCTCTTTGATGTAGCAATTAATAAATTGCTACATTTTTCTGACTCCATCTCTCAACCAGTATCAACGCTCAATTAATTTTCTCTATTTATCATTATTATTATTATTATTTTTCTCTCTAACAGTTCAATCCTGGAGATATTAAAAGTGATCAAATCCATCATGTTGATGTCGATTCTATAGGGCGTTAGCGCTAAAAAACATATTTGTTTTTGGAATAACGGGTGAATGGAGAGTCGCAGACGCAAATAGATTACAAAAAATCGAAAATCGAAGGTTCGAAATCGAACTTCGGTAGGCCAAAAGTCCGTTCATGATCCCATTTAAGATGCAATTATGATCTTTTCTGGGTTAATTTAGCCCAAATGTCTCATAAAACTTTTTTTTCAACTCTGGCCTAACAGATAACGGACTTTTGGCCTATCGAAGTTCGATTTTGAACTTGATGTCAAAAAAATTGCCCAGACCTGACGAGTCCAACAATGTAATCTATTTGCGTCTGCGACTCTCCATTCACCCGTTATTCCAAAAACAAATCTGTTTTTTTAGCGCTAACGCCCTGTAGTAGTTTCGATGCAAAAAGAAGATTAATATTTTTATGCTTAGCTCCATAGTTATTTATCGCCGTCTTCCTTGCAGTATATCACGTAATCCATTTGCAGAAAGGTAAGACTTTTCTCTTCACCCAGAAAGTTTCAATCAACCACCTCAAAGGGTCGAGATCGAGTTTTTTACACCCAGAAAGTTTCAATTAACCATAGAAAAGGGTCGCGATTGATTCTTTTCCACCCAGAAAGTTTTAATTAACTATAGTAAAGGGTCGATATTGATTCTTTTCCACCCAGAAAGTTTCAATTAACTATAGTAAAGTGTCGAGATTGATTCTTTTTCACCCAGAAAGCTTCAAACAACCACCTCAAGGGGTCGAGATCGAGTTTTTTACACCCAGAAAGTTTCAATTAACCATAGAAAAGGGTCGAGATTGATTCTTTTCCACCCAGAAAGTTTTAATTAACTATAGTAAAGGGTCGAGATTGATTCTTTTTCACCCAGAAAGTTTCAATTAACTATAGTAAAGGGTCGAGATTGATTCTTTTACACCCAGAAAGTTTCAATTAACTATTGTAAAGGGTCGAGATTGATTCTTTTCACCCAGAAAGTTTCAATTAACTATAGTAAAGGGTCGAGATTGATTCTTTTGAACCCAGAAAGTTTCAAACAACCATCTCAAAGGGTAGAGATCGAGTTTTTTACACCCAGAAAGTTATAATTAACTAAAGTAAAGGGTCGAGATTGATTCTTTTCCACGCAGAAAGTTTCAATTAACTATAGTAAAGGGTCGAGATTGATTCTTTTTTACCCAGAAAGTTTCAATTAACTATAGTAAAGGGTCGAGATTGATTCTTTTACACCCAGAAAGTTTCAAACAACCATCTCAAAGGGTAGAGATCGAGTTTTTTACACCCAGAAAGTTTCAATTAACTATTGAAAAGGGTCGAGATTGATTCTTTTGCACCCAGAAAGTTTCAATTAACTATAGTAAAGGGTCGTGATTGATTCTTTTCCACCCAAAAGTTTCAATTAACTATAGTAAAGTGTCGAGATTGAGTTTTTACACCCAGAAAGTTTCAACTAACTATTGGAAAGGGTCGAGATTGATTCTTCCACCCAAAAGTTTCAATTAACTATAGTAAAGGTCGAGATTGATTCTTTTACCCAAAAGTTTCAATTAACTATAGTAAAGGTCGTGATTGATTCTTTCCACCCAAAGTTTCAATTAACTATAGTAAAGGGTCGAGATTGATTCTTTTGAACCCAGAAAGTTTCAAAACCATCTCAAAGGGTGAGATCAGTTTTCTACACCCAGAAAGTTTCAATTAACCATAGAAAAGGGTCGAGATTGATTCTTTTCCACCCAAAGTTTCAATTAACTATAGTAAAGGGTCGAGATTGATTCTTTTGAACCCAGAAGTTTCAAACAACCATCTCAAAGGGTAGAGATCGAGTTTTTACACCCAGAGTTTCAATTAACCATAGAAAGGGTCGAGATTGATTCTTTCCACCCAAAGTTTCAATTAACTATAGTAAAGGGTCGAGTTGATTCTTTTGAACCCAGAAGTTTCAAACAACCATCTCAAAGGTAGAGATCAGTTTTTACACCCAAGTTCAATTAACCATAGAAAGGGTCGAGATTGATTCTTTCCACCCAAAAGTTTCAATTAACTATAGTAAAGGTCGAGATTGATTCTTTTTCACCCAGAAAGTTTCAATCAACCACCTCAAAGGGTCGAGATTGAGTTTTTTACACCCAAAGTGTTTTAATTAACTATTGAAAAGGGTCGAGATTGATTCTTTTGCACCCAGAAAGTTTCAATTAACTATAGTAAAGGGTCGTGATTTATTCTTTTCCACCCAAAAGTTTCAATTAACTATAGTAAAGTGTCGAGATTGAGTTTTTACACCCAGAAAGTTTCAACTAACTATTGGAAAGGGTCGAGATTGATTCTTTTCCACCCAAAGTTTCAATTAACTATAGTAAAGGGTCGAGATTGATTCTTTTGCACCCAAAAGTTTCAATTAACTATAGTAAAGGGTCGTGATTGATTCTTTTCCACCCAAAAGTTTCAATTAACTATAGTAAAGGGTCGAGATTGATTCTTTTGAACCCAGAAAGTTTCAAACAACCATCTCAAAGGGTAGAGATCGAGTTTTTTACACCCAGAAAGTTTCAATTAACTATAGTAAAGGGTCGTGATTTATTCTTTTCCACCCAAAAGTTTCAATTAACTATAGTAAAGTGTCGAGATTGAGTTTACACAGAAGTTTCAACTAACTATTGGAAAGGGTGATTGATTCTTTCCACCCAGAAAGTTTCGATTAACTATAGTAAAGGGTCGAGATTGATTCTTTTTCACCCAGAAGTTTCAAACAACCATCTCAAGGGTCGAGATTGATTCTTTTACACAGAAAGTTTCAAACAACCATCTCAAGGGGTGAGATCGAGTTTTACAGAAAGTTTCAAACAACCATCTCAAAGGTAGAGATCGAGTTTTTACACCCAAAGTGTTTAATTAACTATTGAAAAGGTCGAGATTGATTCTTTGCAGAAGTTTCAATTAACTATAGTAAAGGGTCGTGATTTATTCTTTCACCCAAAGTTTCAATTAACATAGTAAAGTGTCGAGATTGAGTTTTACACCAGAAAGTTTCAACTAACTATTGGAAAGGGTCGAGATTGATTCTTTTCACAAAAGTTTCAATTAACTATAGTGAAGGGTCGAGATTGATTCTTTGCACAAAGTTTCAATTAACTATAGTAAGGGTCGTGATTGATTCTTTCACCCAAAGTTTCAATTAACTATAGTAAAGGGTCGAGATTGATTCTTTTGACCCAGAAAGTTTCAAAACCATCTCAAAGGGTAGAGATCGAGTTTTTACCAGAAATTTCAATTAACCATAGAAAGGGTCGAGATTGATTCTTTTCCCCAAAAGTTTCAATTAACTATAGTAAAGGGTCGAGATTGATTCTTTTGAACCCAGAAAGTTTCAAACAACCATCTCAAGGTGAGATCGAGTTTTTACACCCAGAAAGTTTCAATTAACTATAGTAAAGGGTCGTGATTTATTCTTTCACCCAAAAGTTTCAATTAACTATAGTAAAGTGTCGAGATTGGTTTTACACCCAGAAGTTTCAACTAACTATTGGAAAGGGTCGAGATTGATTCTTTCCACCCAGAAAGTTTCGATTAACTATAGTAAAGGGTCGAGATTGATTCTTTTCACCCAAGTTTCAAACAACCATCTCAAAGGGTCGAGATTGATTCTTTACACCCAGAAAGTTTCAAACAACCATCTCAAGGGTAGAGATCGAGTTTTTAGAAGTTTCAATTAACTATTGAAAAGGGTCGAGATTGATTCTTTTACCCAAAGTTTCAATTAACTATAGTAAAGGGTCGTGATTGATTCTTTTCCACCCAAAGTTTCAATTAACTATAGTAGTGTCGAGATTGAGTTTTTACCCAGAAGTTTCAACTAACTATTGGAAAGGTCAGATTGATTCTTTCCACCCAGAAAGTTTCAAACAACCATCTCAAAGGGCGAGAATGAGTTTTTACACCCAAAGTGTTTTAATCAACTATTGAAAGGGTCGAGATTGATTCTTTTCCACCCAGAAAGTTTCAATTAACTATAGTAAAGGGTCGAGATTGACTTTTTACACCCAGAAAGTTCCAATTAACTATTGAAAAGGTCGAAATTGAATTTTACTCCAGAAAGTTTCAATTAACAATTGGAAAGGGTCGAGATTGATTCTTTTCCACCCAGAAAGTTTCAATTAACTATAGTAAAGTGTCGAGATTGGGCTGGACTCGGATTAGGTCCGCACGTTTAGAGACCTGAAATTTTTGTGTATAGCTCATGTCAAACTACATATTATGTGCGAGTGTGGAATTGAGGAAAGATCTAGTTCCTGAGATACAGGGCTTCAAAGTTGATTTTACAGAGCTCTGTGGGAAAATGAAGTTTTCGTATATGCATACTAATGTCTTTTACTTTAATTTTATATATATATACCTTATGGTATGGAGTATTATCATGAAAATTAAGACTCTAGCTACTACGTGAGTACTTATAGTGTGTCTTTATGAGACTTTATTCGTCTTTACTATAATTAATGAACCACTACATATAGAAGCACTAAATTTAGTTGAAGATCAAGTCAATGTCATACGATAATGTCAAAGTCATCTAGTCATATAGTCTTAAAACTGATATAAGTTTGATTATTCTTGTTGAAAATCATGGATCATTTTGTTGAACAATCAATCAATTGCGTCTTATTTAATTCAACATTTAATCATTTAATTTAGTTTCATTAAGATTTAGAATCCATTATCAATTACTAAATTGTCATTCATATTAATCCTTTAATTTAACTTGCTTATTAATCATTATTGTTTAATTGTGATTAATATTCTAGTTAACTAATTAACTAATTTACTGATTTACTAATTGAGGATTTTACAATTAGTCACCTTAATTGTTACAATTTACTATTTAAATTACAATTCTTTTTATATTAAAGGGGTATGTATCACGCAAAATCGACTTTCGTAAAACTTAAAATAAGGTCACAATTGCCGTCGAAGCTTAAACTGTTTTTCGATGATATTTCGAGAACG